CCAACCCTCTAACCCACCAACCGGTTACCAACTCATCCACTCACTCACTATGGTGGACGTAACGGAAAGTTGTCCCTCAGAAATCTGAAATCACAGCTCCCTCCTAATCTACTACTAGTTCATCCCTATAAACTGCATCGTGCCTGTATTAGGGGTGGACTGAACTATACAAACCCCTAGATTTTATTTAATGAGCACTCTGGCCCTGAATGACTAATCAGTCACCTAATAGGCCATCCTCAGAGATGACGACCTCATTTTTTTCCAAGGCAACTAATGGCCATCTTATCAGTCAAAATGTGGACCATGCCGGGCTGGGGGTTTTATGTCTCTGGGTCGGCATTTCACAACACGCCTGTATGTGTCATGCCACCCGCAGCCCATGTGCCAATAAGGTCTAGCCTGTAGCATGACCCGCCTGAGAAACTAGCTGTTGGGGGTACCCCTTCTAACAGATAGTTTTAGCTTTTTTGGGGTTTTTTTACAAAAATACCCCATCAATAACTATAAACAACTATATAAGGGGTATTTATGTATTTTGGCTTTGGGGGACAAAAAATGATAATAATGCCCATCCAACATCTATATAACTAGTTTGGGGGGCATTTAAGTAAATTGATAAATAATTTTATAATGACCAAAATACCCCTCTCAATAATTAAAAAATAATTAGTTTTTAGGGTATTTTGGGTAATCGAATTATTTTCAATTCCTATAAATAGTCATATCCTCCACTATTCTCATCACACCAATTCAACAATTCTCTTCTCATACCCTCTCTGCTCTCTAATTCTCAACTTTATTGAAGTTTCAACAAGAAGGCTTGCTCAAGTATCTCAAGTTAGCAATTTGGGAGGCTTGAATGCTTCAACAATTAAAATCAAGTTGAGATTCTGAACCAATAATCTGGGTAAGTGAAATTAAATTATTTTTATTTTTTTAGAATTTTAAAAAATGGTTGGCTCCTCCTGAAACCAATTCCCCAACATCAACATGTTTAATGCCAATGATATTCAGTTGCAACATGATAGTGTTAGCACTGATAAGGATGTTATTGATATTGATGGAATTTCCACCCCAATTACTAATACTAGAGGAAAAAAAAAGTGGTCACTAAGTTGATTAAACCGGTTTGGAAAATATTTAAAATAGAGGAGGTTGAAGGAAAGGAAAAAAGTTGTTTGCTAAAAATGTAGGAAATACTTTGTCTACTATAGCAATGGTGGCACTTGCCACCTGGGCTGACATTTGTTCTTCCATGAGAAAGAAGAAGAAGAAGAAGAAGAAGGGAAAGAAACAACATAAAACACAAATTAGGAATGGGTTTTTTGGTACTTTTAAATATTCTCAAGAAAAAATGAGGCAAGAGTTGTCAAAATATATTGTACACGTTGAACAATCAATTTTGTTAGTTGAAGATACTAAACTTGAGAGTTTTTTACATAATTTAAAAAAGTTTCAAGGAATACCATTAGATCAGATGCCTTAAAATTTTTGTATTCATATAAACAAAATTTTATTTGTATTTTATCAAATCTTAATTCTAAAGTTGCAATTACTTTTGATAATTGGACCTCTAAATTTAACATAAGTTATATGTGTGTTGTCGGTCATTTTATTGATGAAAATTGGCTTTTACAAAAAAGAATTTTAAGTTTTACTAGGCTTGAATGGCCATATACTGGCCCAACTATTGCTGCAAGTATTTTAAATACTTAACATGCCTAAAGAATTGACAATAAACTATTTTCTATTAGTTTTGATAATGCTAGTAATAATGATTCAACAATAAATATTTTAAAATCTCAATTGAAACCATGTTTAAATGGTAAATTATTTCATATCAAATGTGCATGTCACATCTTAAATTAATGTAAGTGTTGGGCTCATAGGGTCCATGTGATGGGCTCAGGGTTCACTGAGCTTTTCAGTGAATTCGGCTGGGCCTTGTAATAAAGGCTGGGCCGAACCCATGTGGCTGGTGTGTAGATCAATGCTTGGGTCCCACATCATACAAAGAAGCCCAACTGGGCAGCAAATTGGAAACTAGTTAAGCACTGAACACTTAATGGGCCAAAAGCCCATTTCGAACTGGGCTGATGTGATCACCCATCTATGGGGCGAATCTAGGATTAAAGTTAGCAAAAGGATTGGGCCTTTAACCTTATCCACTCTGGGAGACCAAATTCAAATCAGATTTGAATCTAATAACCTCCTGATAAGATTAGGAGTAAGCTAACTTAATCTACAGATATGATTAAGATTATCCCCTATCCAAATACTGATTTGGATTGGGATAACTCCTAATTATGAGGTTTCTTAATCAAGAAGAAAAAAGAGGAGAAACCCTAAGAGATCATATCAGATTTCGAACCTAGGGTTGTGAGCAAGAAATCATCATGCGAACTGAGATTAGATTTCATACACACTCCAGAGAGAAGAGAAGCAATTCAGCCATATTCGTCCCAGGAGTTCTCCTCCAGCCGCCGCCATTCTTTCTAGCAAGATTCGATCTTTGAAGAAGAAAGAAATCAATAAATCAATTCTTGACATCAGTCTTGCAGAAAAGATTGAAAAATATTTGGTGCTCAGAGTTTCCAGAGGATTATTGAGAATGATCCAGTGTGTAGGACGCACTCTGCTGGTTCCGTTCCACATACAGCTGTGTCATCTTCAGCAAAAGCGGATCTTGGTGTCCTCTTTGGGCGTGAACACCAACTTTGGGAGATACTATTTCTATGGGTCAGGTATAATTTATCCCTTCCCTTTTGGTTTAGATCTGGTTCGATAATAGTTCAAGTAAGATCCTTGAATATTGTATTCTAAATTTAGGGAATACGATTCCCAGTTGGGAGAAGGTAGGAAAATTTTTGAAATTCGCCCACTCATTCCGTAATCTTTATGGCGTCCATTAGATGGATCTACCATTCTTTCAAGAGCAACCATTGTTCTTTTGTTGCTCATCACTTGAATTACCGTTTGGCTCATTGGCTGTTTCCAATCCAAAATCACTTCTCTTCTCATAACTATTCTCCTCTTTTATTCCAGCCATCATCATGGGTTGCAACTGGAAAGCGGTTCTGTGGCTTGTGGAATTAGAGGGCTTTCTACTCTTTAGGCTATGTTTAGTTGCAGTTTATTTGCATTAGAACAAATGCACGGGAGTGCAAATTATTGTCTAATTTTGTTTTGGGTTTACACTTTATTTCTGCTCCATATCTTAAATTTACTTCATTTGTATTTCAATCAAACAAAATAAGTTAAAATTTAAAACAAAAATAAGTGAGAATTTACACTAAAATCATTTGCACTTCCACACTTTTGCATCAATTCAATTAATTTACATTGCAACCAAACACATCCTTAATTTCAAGCTACAAGCCTAAAGAAAGTACACGCTTCTAAGTTTTATAACACTTAAAGGTATAATAACTTTTTGGGATTAAAAAGATAAGTATAACAGTTCCAGTTTAGGAGCCATACCAGAAGACAAAATGAAGGAGAAAAACCCTCATATGCAAAAACTCACGTGAATTGTCTAAAATTCACCATGAGTTTTCAATATTTCTCTTAAACTCACCACAACTTTTCAAAATGTCTAAAACTCACCATGTCAGTAAGTTTTTATTTTCCAAAACTCATATTCCGTTAGGACACTGTTGCTTCTTAACAGAAGTGTCCATGTCAGCATAAATAACAATTTTCATGACCAAATTACCCTTGAATGGCGAGTTAGAGGAAAAATGGTCTTTTTTCATTTTTCAATTTTCTTGTTTTTTTTTGTACTTTTAGTGTATTGTTATAATTTCCAATGTTTTTTTATAATATCTGTTTTTTTTTCATTTTTCTATTTTCTACAATCTATAAATTTTCCTATATTTTTGTTATTTATTTGCAATTTCTGTGTTTTTTCTATAATTTTTATTTTCTGATTTTGTTTTTCAATTTATATGGTTTCTATAATTTGAAAATATTTTATTTATTTTGTTTGCAATTTCTATAATTTTTACATTTTTTGTAATTTCAATATTTTTATGTATTTTATATTTGAAAATATTTTTTTGAACTTTTTTTTCATGTCTAAATATTAAAATGATAAAATATTAACACCTATTAATTTATTTTGTATATATTTTATATTTTTCTATAAAAATTAAAATTAATTTATTTAAGGTCAAGTTAGTGATATGATAGTTTTAAACATTTTGAAAAGTTGTAATGAATATAGAGAAATGCTAAAAACTCATGGTGAATTTTAGAGAATTTCTCAAATCAAAATATTATACGATGTGTCATCGTTAATTTTCCAAACTGAATTTATACTCAATGGAATTTATTTATTTAATTGTTGAAGGTGAAAAGTATATAAGGTGGAAACGTGAAGCAAGCTCTAGAACTTTTCACCAGAAGTCCAGAACGATGAATGGAAACGGTGTGAAAATGGGTCCCACACGACATAATCACCCCCACCGCCGAACTTTGACCTGCCAACAATTATTAATCAGTTTCAAACTTTCAACCACAACAAATTGATCTTTAAAGTCGTCTCTCTGTCTCTCTTTCTTTCTGCACCCAAAGGCCAAGGTTATAAATCCAACCATGAAATACGCAATGGAGAAAAAGGAATAGTAGAAATATAGAATATGCCCCCAACAAATCAAATCCAACGCATTCAGTCCAACAGTCCAACATCTCTGTTTATTCTCCCTTCCACAAAAGTCCAGAGTGGAGGATGGTGTTGAAATAACAAGGGTCCCCACCCACTACCCGCCACCCACTTCTACTAAATTAGCATCCTGACTCATGACTATGTTGGATCGTCAACCGTCTCAACCACGACACGTTCATAAAACCAACCACCTACCCAACTTCTTCCTTCTCCATTGACCTACTTCCTTAAATTTTGTTCTTTCCCCTTGATCAATGTCCAGATCTTCCATTTAAAATTTGAAAAGCACACTCAGTAGAAGTGAAGAGGGAGAGCTGCGTCAGATCCGATCTGATCAAACTTTGGCCTTTGCACAAGAACCCATAATTTAATTAAAAAAGAAAAGCAAAAGCAAGGAAGACAACCAATACCAACCCACTTTCAAGTTTTTACTACATCCACAATCTTCCCTCTCGCTTCTTCTTTTTCACATTCCAAGGGTTTGTAATAAAAATCAAATAAAATAAACAAGGGAATCCCGTGTTGTTCAGGGAACGAAGAAAGCCCGGTCTCATTTGAGTATCTATCTCCTCGGAATTAGCTAGGCGTTTTCTTTGAGCCTCCGCTACTAGCTGCCGCTTCATTATCTTCTCTTTCTCCTCCCTTGGTTTTTCAAGTTGGTTTGTATATTCTGTTTCCTTTGGCTTTGATATCAATGGTGGCTTAAGAAGATTCAAGGATTAGACCAGTCGGCTCTGCTACAGAGCGAGAGTGGTTGTGCTCGCCTTCGTAGGTGACAATCAGCATGGTTGGATCATCCAGGGCTCGCTCCACGTGTTTCCGTGCAGGACAACCCCTCACACTACTGCACTTGTAGTACCCCCTGTTCATCAACCCAACAATACAAACCAAAACAAAAGTTAGAAGAAGAAGAAGAAGAAACTCGCAACTCGCAACTCGCAACTCGGGCGGATTCTACTAATTACATATAAGAGTCAACTCGGAGGGATTGGGAACTTCCCCATCCCCATTAGAAGGAACAATCGTGAACTGACCCCAACCACCGTCGTCCACTCAGACCTCATAAAAGTAAGGCTACCCGGACCTACCCGTCAATGATCAAAGTTCATTTCCAGGGGGGAACATGTTTCAGGAATCATGACTAATATCCCTGACCGAGTTTATATGAGAGATTAAACTGAATTGACGATTCGAATGCCGAGTCGCCGATTGAGTCAACTTACGGATCTTGTCAAGGGGGAAAAAGGCAAACCAAAGGACCACGATTCCAGAGCTATAGCACTAGTCCTCACCTTGGATGTGGGGATCCTTTGATGGGTTTTTGTCCGTACTTCCTCCATGAGTAATCATCAGGTGGAATATCGGCCATCTTCAAGCTTATGGCGGGAACTCTCACTACTCTCTTCACTCTGGATTTCCTGTTCAATCAGATTTTCATCGTCTCACATGAGAATGAAAAGAAAGCAAGTAACAAAAATAAAAGAAGGAATGAAGAGGGAAAGATGTCTCACCTTCGCTTGGAACAATGGCACCTCCCAGCAGAACCTCCGCACTTGCCAGCCGCGTCGTCAGACGAGCTACATTTCCTTTTCAAGGAAGACGAAGACAAAGGCGGACGTCCAGCAGAGGAAGCCTGAGAAAGATGGGTAATCTGAAAAGCCGATGATGAAGACGGCTGCTTGCTATCAGTATCACCCGTCAAAGACGACATGAATGAATTTGCAGCAGAAATAGGGGGAGAAGACGTGAAATTAATGGTGGTGGTCAATTCCTTGACGGTCTTCGGCACCGCAAGGGGAACGTGGGTATTGTTGGGATGGTGGTGTTGGTGCTGCTGATGATGATGAGGAAGAGGAGGGAGGTGTTGGATGTGCGTAGGACAGTGAACCCTAGACCCAGAAGACAGTTTGTCGTCGTCTTTGTGGGGAGCAGGGGACACAGCAGAGAAGGGTTGGTCATTATCGTGGGTCTGTTGAGGAGAACACAAAGGACCCCTTCTGAAGCGAGCGTGGCCGGTTCTTGGCCGACCCAGGAGGGAGATGACTTTCTTAAACTTGGTTACAGCTACATCAGCGACAGCCTTGTAATCCAGATCAATCTCCATATCTGCTTTAGGATGCTGTTGTTGTTGTCTCTGGGAGAGCAACCTTATGAGTTTCTCAATACTCTGAAGGCCTGCAGAAGCAGCTTCTTGGACTGCATTCTCCTCCATTTTAGCTGCAAAGTTATCATTCCTGTAGCCCATCATAAGCTCCACCGCCATGACTTGAAAGTCATAAAAGGAGAAGGACACAACTGCTTACAGAGAAAGAGAAAGAGAGAGAGAGAGAGAGAGAGAGAGAGAGAGTTGTTGTGTAGAGGAGAGAAGAAGGAGAAGAGAGGAGGTAGGACTTAGGAGGGAGAAGAAGAGAGAGAGAGAGAGAGGGGAAAGCAAAAGTAAAAGGAAGATTGAGAAAAACGAAAGAGCATATAAAAAAGAAGGGGGAGGGGGGAACAGGAAGGGGATTCGAGTCAAACTGGGCCAAGCGAGATGCAAGGCATCGGGTGACTGAGCTGTCGCTTCAAGGCCTCTGCCGTCAAAGGGAGTAACCAATGAAATGGTACCACGTGCAGAGCAACTTGGTGGGAGTGTCGAAAAAGAAAAAGAAGAAGGCTTTAAAATAGTTTTAGTCCAACGGAGAAAATGTCACGAGTCACGACATTGACCGCCTTCTTTATGCGATGGGGCCGTCCGTATTCTACTTTATACATGATGATGCCCCACCCCCATTGTTTATCTTTATCCTCTCCTCGGCCTCGAGGAGTAGTAGTAGGGTTCAGAATTTCACAAGATAAAAAAGCGGGATGGGTCCATGACTCATGAGTGGGTAAACAAGAATTAAAAGAAAGAGAGGGGCAGGTCAAACAGTGTCTCATTCTCATGGTCATGGGAGAATGGAGATGGGATCATCCATGATCCATCCCGTCCCGTCGCCCGTCGCCCGTCGCCCGTGTGAATTCATTGGGAGCGGGATATTAGTTGTTAGCAGTGAGATTAGAGTTGACGTTCTTCACTATCAATAAATATATGGACGGACAAGAGGACCAAATTAAATCAAACCATCACGCAAGCAAAGCATTTTCACTGGGAAGGAACCGGAAGAGCTATCAAGTGTAAAGTGTAAACCACCCAATACTTAATAATAAATTAAAAAAAGAAGAAAGTCATGGGGTTCTCTGGTCGACAGCAACCAAATTGTTTGTCTTGTTTTTGTATTGCCGACGGAACCCTTGTGAGTACGAGGGTCGATGGGTGGTAATTTCATTCACCCCAACAGGCCAATAGAATATGTGAAATGTAAGAGAATACAATTCCATACCACGTATACTACGTATGGTTGTTGGGTGGGAACTGAGAAGGATAGTAATATAGTACGTCAAGTAGCCAAGCAGGAAATCAGGAATTGAATTAGTTAGAGGACCTGGACGGCTCAACCTCCAATGTCCGATCTTGGAGTGTCATTATTCCCAAAAATTCCAGGACATAATTTGTTGTCTACGTAGACGTAGGTAGAGACTAGAGAGTAGAGGCCAGAGCGGTAGAGACAAAACATTTACAATAAGAAAATTGTGGGTGTAAGCTGTAAATAAAGAAAAGGCGGATGCAGACAAGATCGCCTGGCTGGCGAGCTGGGACCCTGAGGTCTGAACTGAAAGCCCAAGACCGAATGGAATGATACGGTAATACGTAGCCTAGACACAAAAGTCAAAGACGGATTTGGATTTCCAGGGCCCAAAGGATATTGGGCTGCCCCGTTTTCTTTACTCTTTTTCTCAGACTTTTAGTATTGGAAATTATTACTTAAATGCAGACACAAGACGTGTTCAAGTTGCCTATTTATTTGTTGACTCAGCTAACGTGAAATTTAGACTCATCAATGCTTGGTCCCAAGTCTCAACTCTCTCTACTAGATCTCTTGAGGTTGATGAGGATATCTTTAAAAATCCAAAGCTGCTGCATACATGGCATGCCATGGGCCCATGGGCATGGGTGTAATGTATTATTGGAGTACTCAACTCAACGAATACATAAGTGGACCCTGTTGACTACCTAACCTAATACTTTGCTACCACATGTAAGATTCCTGTATCCCCCCTCCTCTGGATCTCCGCCATAAATTGCTCAACTACAAAAATGAAAAACCTCGTGACCTCCCCCCCGGTCCCCGGTCCCCGGTCCCCGGCCCCTCCCTCCCCCTACACCTGTCATTCTTTTTTTTTTTTTTTTTTTTTCTCTCTTTAATAAAATCTATTAAATTATCTTCAGCTTAGTTTCAGAATAAAATAATTGATTTTACCCCAAAAATAATAACAAAATATTCTCTTCTCCAACAGATTAAAAGTCAGACAGCCAGAACAGAAATACTTAAATGTATGGATCCCCACGTCTCCACTGCATCTTTAAAAGCAGGTTTAATTCATGCTAGAGATAGTACAACATCATTCATTCAATATTCAACCAATTACTAAACGAAACCGAAACAAATGCCACAAATTCAAAAGCTTTTTGACCATAAGGAGGATTGGAGAGAGAGAAAAAGTCGTATTCACTATTCACAACTTAAATCAAAGTGAGGAACCAAGTGCAGTGCATACTTAAGCCGCTTACGTGAAGTAGGAGAATAGCTTACTCTACCGCTCATATCATAATAAAATCAATTTGTCTTAGTTATTTCTAAGGTCGACGGAGGATGTAAATTAATTCGTTTATATTTTGAGGTCTTAAAAATTGATTGAATTGGGAATGAGAAGAAGTGGGAAATAAATAAGTGGTCAGACTTTCAAAGAAACTACCATATACCCTCCGGTCAAGGATCAGCCCGTTATAGTTCGCCAGTGCTAAATTCTGACAACAGAAAGATAGAAAGAGGAGGAAAGGATGGATGAGAGAAAGAGAGAGGGTGGACTGATATCCCATTGATGATCAAGAATGGCCCCAAGACTCTTATTTATAGTTCCTGATTGCACATTCTAGAAAGTTCTTAAGCTTGTGTTTTCCCATTTTACCCTCATATTTTATAAATTTTTTATCACATTTAAAACATGTGATTAATTTGTCTTTCTACAATTATCTTGATATTTCTATTTTTGCCCTTTTGGCATTTAAAGTATATGTTTATTTTCTTAAATTATTTTCTAGAATGTTTCCAGTTTATTTCTTATCCAAAAATACTCTTCTAGTCGTAACCGCCGTTCCACATTGCTACTCAGGTCGATCCCTTTACATGGCAGCGTTTGATAAGCCTTTTTCATACGGTCTTTTGGGGTTCAACAAACTTGAAAGACCGAAAATCAGTCTTTTTTTTCCCTTTGGTAACCAAAGATGGAAAGATGCATGTGAAGAAAGATCAAAACACATAATTTTAGGAAGCTTCAAATGAAGCTTTTGGTCTTTCTATGTGATATATAACCTCTAAATGCATTTTTAAAAGCCTAGTACACTTAGTCATTTACCAAACGATATTTGTCTTTACAGATAAGACCCCAAAAGCTGAATATGCCTTTTGCTTATTTGGACTACTGGAAAATCTTTCTAAAAGGACTTGCCAAATGGCATGTTTTAGGCGATTTTTTGGCAAGTCTTTCTAGGTATGTGGATCTTTCAATAGCTCAATAGATAAGAGGACTTATTGGGCTTTTGGGTCTTGTCTTTAAACACCAAACTGTTTGGTTTGCGCCATAGTCTATTAGGTTATTGAAAGAATTAAGAAGGCTATTTTCAATGTGGAAAGACCAAAAGTTTCATTTGAAGCTTCCTGATTTTGAACTTTTTTTGTTTTTCCACGCACTTGTCTTCAAGTCTTTTGATCTAGCTGATATCAAACGGGAAAGACTATTTTTTAGTCTATTACGTTTTTTGCAAACCAAAAAGACATGCATAAAAAACGCACCAAAGACCTTATGTTTTAAGATTCATGCTTCAATCTTCATGCACCAAAGTTAAGGGAAGCTAGATGATTTGCAAAATGATCCATTATGGATTTATGGGTAATTGGTAGTTTTAGATCTGTTCATGGGCTGGGCCCGGCTTTGCCTCTTTATCAATAGAAAATGTCTAGGGTCAAGCCTGAGCCCAACTCTTATATAAGGCTTGAAGCTAGAGCCCAAAGCCCAACCTGCACATAAAATGTCCTATTTTTTGTGTAATTTAATAAACTAACTAGTGGGGACCTGTGCGATGCATGGGATTCAATAAGCTTTTGCTTAATAATAGAAATGGTCATTTACTAAAATATCCCTTATAGTTTCATGGATTTACTAAAATCTGCCATATAGTTAGCATCTTACTAAAACACCACTTATAATTTGCAACGAATTTTATCAATCTTCCAATATATGGTAGTGGAAAATGATAGTGTTGACCCTAAATAAATTTAATCAAAAGAAAATAAAAATAAAAAAATATCATTTTTGCCCTTAATAAGACACGACCAACCACTTTATTGGTTATATTTGGTCAATTTTATTTTTTACACAAAAATGTGTTAAGGGTATTTTTGGAATAAAAAACAATGGGCCTAATGGCAAAACAAACACTCCTTAATGAAATGTTGATTAAGTAAATAAGTTGTAAAATATATGGGATGTTTTAGTAAAATGAAAACTATAAGGTAGGTTTAAGTAAATATGTAAAACAATAAGGTGTGTAGGAATGGCAACAGGGCATGGATCATATTCCCCATCCCCGACTCCAATTATGAAATTAACCCCGATCCCCGATGGGGATGGGTTCCCCGTGGGGACCCAAATCCCCTAAATGTTTTCAAATAATAACATTTTTTAATAAATTTATTTAAAATAAATAAAAATTTTAAATTATAAATAATGTTTTGATATATATATATATATATAAATAATATAATAGTATATTTAATATAGATAGATAGATAGATATAATCAGGGTCGGGGATTCCTATTAATCACTGCCCCTACTGGTCGATTTTCTAGTATTTTACGTTGGCTTTAGTTAAAAAATTTCCCAATTCGACCAAGTTGTATCAATTTCACTTTAGCCATTTGTAAACTAACCAAAATCGAATGACCTAACCATGGATATATATTAATATTTTATATTTTAAATACAATTTTTAATAAATCTAATTTTTAAATTTATTTTTTAATAATTGCACTATAATTCTTAAAATTAAAATTAAATTTTAAGTTTAAATCTTTTGAATCGACTAACCAAACCAAAAAATCGACCTAAATCGTTACAACTTGAGTGGGTCAATTTTCACAAAAGGTTAGTCGATTTCAGCTGACCAACTCCCTAACTTGACCAAGTCAATTTGGTTGGCTAAATAGCCTAGAACCGAACCAAACCAACTCATGAACCCTCATAATTTCAGCTAAACTAAT